TAATTGAAATATTTGATTTTAAATAAAATGTTTCTTTAAGTATTTTATTTAAATTACTATTTGAAATGTTATTATAAATGCAGTATTTAGTTCAGATATTCAATTTAAGTAAAGTAATTAAGTATTTGGATAACTTGAATTAAAGCTGAAATAAAGTATTTCAGTTTATTTCAACCCTGTCAAATACTACCCATCTCTGTTCATATTCAATGTCTCAAAATAGACAGAAGAAGCATGTAATTTTATACTTTTTTGAATTGTATGCAAGGAAAAGAATAGCTTAGTCAAATCTATTCTTAATACATGCATAATAATGTATAAGCATCACCCCATTCTCTCATTGTTCCTTATTATGTAACAAATATCTAGTTCATGCTAAAAAAATATTTGTCTGTAGTTAGTTACGTAATTTATGTTAGGAGCATTATAATTTTATTTGTTTGTTATCTTGACATGCCCCTGTAGAAATAACAACCTACCCAGTTCGTCCAAGTTACGTAAGTGATTCAAAATGTAAATAAAATTTTTATGGTACAAAAAATTAATTTTAATTACTATACCGTATATATTGGGTTCTAAGAGTCGTTTCAATCATTTTTCTTTTAGTTTTTTGTTCAATAATAAGTGTTTTAATAGATTAAAGAATACTTTGAATTGAATACAAAAGTTTTTATTAAATATTCTAAAATTTTTTAATGATAAAGTTTACTTTGTATTGATGAATAATTAATATTCTTGTTCATGTTGCTCCTGAGCACACCATTGAAACAATTTTATCGTAGTTAAATATATTTTACCATAACAGTTAAACTTCTTATTCTTGTTCGGTCACCGACCCGGATAGTAAAATTCTTGAATCATTAATACCCATCAATACATTATTCTGTGTTATATATTCTGCAGTATGTATGAATTAAAATCAAAGAATCTCGTGTTAGCATACGGCCCCGGTGCGATGAATATTACATGAGATGCTGACTCACTCTCGTGAGAAATACACATGAAATACACAAAGAAATATACATGTCACTAAACAGTCTTTTGTAGCTACAAGCTTAAGTTCATTGTTTAAAAACTTTTGATACAGTTGCATATGAGAAAAATTTTTTTAATCCCTATCACAGTGTACCCTTAACTGAATAATTAAATATTAAAAATATTTTGGAAACAGTTTAGTGTTTAAACTTAAATTTTGAAATCAACCAATTATATTTGATATTTAAAAAATTGAAGTTTTAACTAGGATTTGACATGAAAATATTGTTTAACAGAAAAATTATGACAAAATGTAACAAAACTTCCGGTACCGGGAATCGAACCCGAGCCTCCTGGGTGAGAGCCAGGTATCCTAGCCACTAGACCATACCGGAGACGGGAGATGAGTTTCAAAGTTCGTTTATACCGGGATAGAAAGCTCTTACTGTTACGCTTTACTTTCCTCTATAGTACGAGGAAAATTTTTCATTAATTTATTAAATTCAATCAATATTTTTCCCTACTACCATCACAATTCAGCTTATTATTTATTTATAACAATGACTCACAAGTTTAAATCGATATTTTGACGAAACGGTTTTATAGTCTGATAAACTTTTACTCTCACAGAAAATTAAAGGGTCGCCAATGTTACGCAGATCATTGAAAATTAAGAAAAGTAAACTAATTCGCGAACACACACTTTCTAAAAATAAATGCCGCAAGTCGTACATTTTATAGACACTCAAACTAGAAACGCGGCAAACGTGACCCCATACAATATGTACGAAGCCAATGTCAGTACGTGTTTAAAGAGGTGTTGTAATGAAGGGGTCTACACTCACGGCCAAGTACCGGAACGCTTCCTCCTCCGAAATTCTGGCTCTTTATCCTCCAAAAGCAGCTGTTGGTGTTGCTGCTGTTGACGCTGCTGCTCAGGAATGTCCCGCCACGAGCCGAGCAGCTCGCAACTCTCGCTAGATCGACGCGCTCGCTCCCTCATTATTATTTCCATCTAATCGGCCAGATCGCAAACGAAACCACAGATCCTTGATCTTCCGCTCATAGTTGGCATTACAATCCTCACTTGTAATCAGTTTTTCTGATTTTCTTTGAGTCCACTCGTCTTCACATATAAATTTCCGCTGTAGAAGTATGTTTCGGTAAGTTTCGACTGTCTTTGTGTTCGGTGGTGAACTTGCTTTAGGTTTTCTTATTTTATATTTATTATCTTATCACTTTCGTAAACTTTCAAATGATTTGAGAAAAACAATTAAGAGATGTGTTTCTAAATAAATTTGGTGCTCCGTCAATCTACTAATTAACAAAGTTTTTACCATTATCTTTGACATTCGGGTTACGTGATTTCACGATTAATTTTGTTTCATTTAGATACCACAATATTTAAAAATGTAAATTTTAATTGAAGTGTATTTTTATCTTAATGATCTCAGACATTTGTTATTGACGAAATTTGTTTGAAGTCAATATATCAACGAGGTTATTAGTTTTAATCGGAATTTTCTTACAACCATTTGACTGAGTAATCATTATCTCCGATAAACTTGAAACATAACCAGAAGCACAGTCACCACTCGATAACAAAAATATCTCACGTACTTATTTTCCAAACAGAGAAAACCTTTGGTTCTTTTTTTCCTTAACTACGTCCTACTATCAGCTCGTGAGCCTCTCTTCCATCAACTTGCTCGAACCAATTGGAAAAAAGACCCAATCCTCGCTTTTTTTCGTGCTCGGTTGATCGGTACGACAAAGGCAAGAGAAAAGCGTCAAATTAAAAAAAGAAACGAGCACGTTCAGTAAACACTCACAGAAACATTTAAAAGAATAAGTAGTCCGTCTCAGCAAGTCTTTTTGTTCACTTTACGGCGCAAGTGAAGGTATAATATGCCTGTGTATCTACTATTAGTGAGAAAATTCACGTTTGGAAAGCCGGTCGACGCTACCGGCACGTAAGGTACTTCCCTGGTGACAATCGAGGTGACAATGGTGCCGTTGAAGCAAAAAAAAAAAAAAACCAGAGACTCGCGTGATCAATTGTGAGAAAGTGGACTCGTGAAAAAGCAGAACCGATTCTTCGCGTTACCGATCACCGCTGGCTGACGTGCACGTGTGCACAGCTATGCGCATATCACGCCACCCTAATGTTTATTATCTAAGATACAGCCGCTGTACAAATATGTCCCAAAGAACGGCACTTCTGATCGATACGACGCTCGCTACTTTACTGAGATGCTGTTGCGCTAGCCCACTGCTGCTGACCGACCTCCGACATTACCGACCATATATATATACACTCACCTCTCTCTCTTTTATAGACGCTTTCCTTCCCTCCAAGTGATGTGAGTGTGTGTACTGTGTGTATCCCCTCCATGTATATATGTATACCAATATGTTGCTCCATGTACTCATAAGAGAGGGCTGTAGTGGGTAAATTGCGTAAACATATTGCCGCTGCTGACACGGTTTTCGCGGGTTCTTTTCTTGCTTTCTTTCTTTCTCTCTTCCAAAGGGAGTGGGGCCTTCGTACAAACACATATTACGCGATCTTGTGGTTTTTGTTGTTGTAGGGATAGCTCGTTTAATTAGCTAAGTGAAGTTAATTTTTTTTTTTATACGAGGTGATTTTCGACATCTTTTATGAAAGAAACAGAAAGTTTTTTTCACATATTTTGTCAGTGTCACACTCGAATACAAGGAGACTGCTTTTTTTAAAAAGATTTTTAATAACTCCCAAAATAAATACTGCTAAGTATCGCAATGACGGCTGAATTGTTTTGGGGAAAGTAAAAATCTACCTTTCATATACTTTTTTTTTTATTTCATTACAAAAGCGCCTGTAGATTTCACTCTAGAAATGTAGGTCAAATTTTCATAAAAAAACCTTTTAGGTTATAATAATCGAAAATGAAAAAGAGAACAAAACCTATGATGTGAAAAAGTTGTATATTTAAGTATTTTAAATTTATATGTAACCAGCTCATTAAGAAACAGTCTTTAAATGTAGCCGTTCACTGTCCTCATGATTACAATCTAGTATTTTCGTACGTAACTTATCTTCTCATTTCATCTTCGTCTCCCACTTTTTGCGTACATTATCTGAAATTCTTGTCTTAGTTACCGTTTTCCTCACGCAGTATACAAAATTTTCATATAATCCTATATTTGTAGGTATACTTCAATACAGAACAACGTGACAATTAAATCTAAAATAATTTTCATTTTATACGTGTAAGGAGTAAAGTGTGGATATAGATTTTCAAAAGAAAAAAAAATTATATCAAATAAACGTAAAAATAACCAGTTACAATGAGTAAACAACATTTTTGATTAACTTGCTTTGTATCGTACGTCATTTATGGAATGTTGATCAATAACTTGTCAAGATAAGTATTATTAAAATGAATGACAATTATGTGTCTTGAATAATTGAATTTTTTAATTTGAAGATTGTGGTGTTGCTCTCAATAACAATAACAAGGTACACATATAGCGTTAAGTGAAGAGAGAAGCCTTATTTACTACAATCGGAGTTCAACGATCGTAAAGGAAAACCTTAACTCGAGGGTCGTCAGACAATAATAGATATTTAAAATTTTTTCAAACACTTACTTATTATCAATTGTTTCACGTGGGGGGAGGACATGATTAAGGAAAGGTTCCAAAGAAGTCACTTTACGACGACTTTCTTTGGATCTTTCACTTGAATTTCCGCTCCAAGGTGCGCACCTTGGGTTGTGTTTTCGAGGAAAACTAGTAGTTTCGACATCGAGTGCGTGACGTGAAAAAAAAAGTGGGGATGGTATTCCATCCCGGAGATTTCCATTACCCGATAAGTATGAGCAAACCGATCGTCATGAAACACCGTGTGAACGGAACGTGGAAAATTTTTTCAAAGATGTATCGAATAAACGTTTCACGCACACACGCATCAGTAAACCGATAGGTCTTACTACAGCCACGTAACGTAAGCCTCATTACGTTGCAAAGTTACGAAGCCGAAGCGGCAATTTTCGTCCTTCGGACGTATGGTACTCGCATACACATGCACTTGCGTGCCTCGAGACAGGCAGCTTGTGATTTAGGTTTAATTTTCAAGGATGGAACGAAACCTGCTTCGGCGAAACTCGATCCTTATTAAGTGAATAAAATGAATTTGCATATAGTTTTGTATGTGCATCACGTTACGCGAGTGGGACTGACAAACGAGAGAGAAGGTAGAGACAGCAGCGATTCCGATCGCATGCCCGAAAAATTTCCACGAGCTCGCGTGGAGGTGACTGGACAGGAGGTGGTAAGGGAGAAAAAACAAAATAATGAAGCTCGAAACAGAGAGAACTGTAACTCCACGTGATGCCATTTCTTACATGGTCTCTCGCATGTCTCGGCCGATCTTTTGTAATTAATCGAAATTAAATCTTTTCGGAGGTCTTGCAGATTCGCCGTCGTTCCAGTGACCTAAAAAGCCTGTCGCAGGCATCAAAGAAGGCTGAGTCGAGTTCGCGGGACGGTATTTAAGTGTTACGTGCGACGGTGGTGTAATGGCTGATTTTTCAGATCGTACGATAGCTATATGTCCGAGACGCACGCGCTGTGTCACGCGATTTTCTCACAACCGAGCGCTCGATCCGATGATTCGCGAAAGTGGGTTGTTTTCATTTTACCTTTTGTTTTCAAGCTTGGTAAAATACTTGAGCATGCAACTTGCATAATTAAAAAAACTCGACATTGTATCAGGTGATTAAATTTTTTGAAATCATACATTGAAAACGCCATGTGTTTAATTCTGAGAAATTAAAATAAAATTCATTACAAAATTACTGCAGAATTCCTGTTAACCACATTTATTGTGATACGTAGGTTTTGTATAACTTAACCATAACAATGTTCCTCAACAACTTTTCAATTGGTAAACAAAGCTTAAAACTATATTTGAAAACACAATAGCCATCCAATGTTGTATGTGGTATACATAGAATAATACAGTTAATTTAGTTTTTAATTATATTGATTTTATTTATGCATTAAAATTTTTAATAGTAATAACAAAAGTTGATGTATTTAATTTTCAAGTAATTTGTAGTTAAAATAACATAGTACACATTACTTTAGTAATTTGTAAATCGAAATAATTCAAATAGAATTTTCCTAGGTAATGGTAAAACATGTGAAAAATATAACGGGTGATTATATTTTATTTGTTTTTTAAAAAAATTTTAAGGTAATCGAAAATTAATGTACAATTTAATCACAAATGTGATAAATTACTTACAACCCTCTTAGTAAGTTTAAAACCAAAATGTGGAAAAAGTGATTATTTTTATTGAAATAATGCTGTGATTTACTATAAATTCTGAAAGTATAACGTGATCAGATTTAGTCTGTTATTTCTTGTAATATTTCCTGGTGCCGTATCTATGTTTAATTAAGATAAAAGCTAGGTAACATGCAGCCATGTTTATTAAATAACCAACTGATGGATCTTTATCACACGCTTGTTATGTATCTTAATGTTTAAAAAATTTTTTTTTATTTAATTAGCCAAGTAGTTCTTTAAATAAAAACACAATTTCAGCTGTTGTAAGTACATCCAAACCATCTACCTTTTAAACATAAATATGCTCTTGTCAGTCCATAAATATAATTTTTTTTTTTAATTTGTGAAGTCCTGCTTCTTCGTACGTTCATACGTGAATGTGATTTATCGAATGTTAGTTACAGATCTGGTCAGGCTTATGTGTATAAACCTTGAATTATCTGGCTAGTGATGTGCTCACATGTTTACTTTCGGAAAACTAAGCATTATCCAAAACATAATCCACTTACTTCATTTCTCGAAATCGCAGTGTGTTTAAGAAGAAAAAACTTGGATTTTACTTCGAGAAAAAAAAGCTTGCGGTGATTTTTACAGAAATTTGCAAGAACCACTACAACATAATTATCAAAACAGAATGACGAGCGCAACTCTATCAACCACGCGTGCTCTAAAAATCGGGTATCTACTCTAAATAACGATAACAATGAGCTTATCGAGCAGTTGTACGGTGAAAAATATCAGCACTCGCCTTATCTCAGCTCAGCTGATGTTGGGATTTCGCCTCGTAAGCCGGGAAATTTCATCGAAAAATTATATTCATACCATGAGTTCTTTCAGTCTTTCCTTCGACATGTACTCCACAACAAACCGAAACAGCACATCACTCACAGAATAACTCTCACTTCACCATACACACAGACACACACACACACACACACACACACACACACACACACTCGCAGAAACGCTAGCACGGTTATCTCACTGGCCAAAGCGTGCTTCGCTCAAACATCGTCAACCATACCCACATTACATGGTTACATAATTAATTTATCGGTACGGTACGGAAAGATGTGCTCGTGGTTCCCATGGCGTGTTTACCTGATCATGCAGTCGAGACCATTTCGCACACGCAGCACCGCCCGCGTGACGAGAGCGCCGGCTCTCGAGCAGAGCATCACTGGACTGCCGGCGCATTTTCTTCCCTATTAGTCGTCGACAAATGCCACTGACGGCGGATCTTTTGCTCAACAGTGCCTGAGAAAGACAGAGATGGGCACGCCAGAGGGAGCGAAAAATAAATCTCGTTCCAGCGTGTGATATACGGCGGGCTTGACTGCACGACAATGATAACAACAACGTTGGAAGTGCGCCATTCGACTTTCTGCCACTCTCTCGACCAGAGATAAGCTTAACCAGGGAGATAACCCTTCTTCTTATTCTTCTTCTCCTTTGTAGCGAAATTCACGGATTAATGAAGCTTTCTGTCAGAGGCTGTTTACGCATTGGGGCGTTTCATTGTTACTTCGCTGGAATCTATAACGAATCATTCATGAAAAATGACCAAAGGAACAAACAAACGTGAACTCGTTTTTGGCTTTTCCAAAAAATAAATCATCGATAGTTCAGCTGTTATTGACCTCAATTCTGGGGTACTTGGATTGAATTATGGTTCACTTTCGTTCATCGAGTACGTCGATTTGTTTGCTCTGTCTCGACTGCTAGACCACTTATCCGATAATTGAATACACAAATAGCAGAGACCGGATCAACAAGTGTTTTGTGGGTATACGTGTGCAGTTTGCACGTGAAACTCGGATTCCCGCTTTTGGTGAACGCGGATTTTCTATAATTCCAAAGTAGTAGGCATTAAAGATGTCCAAACC